AAACTTCCAAAAACAACCGTAGGAATAAATTTAACCAAGGAGGTGAAAGTCCTCTTTACAAGGAAAACTATAAAACATTGATGTAAGAAATTGAAGAGGTCACAAAAAAATGGAAAGAGACACCATGTTTGTGGACTGAAATAATTAAGATTGTGGAAAAAACCATACTACCAAAAGCTATCTATGGATTCAATGTAATCTCTACACCAATGACATTCTTCACAGAAATAGAAAAAACAATTCTAAAATTTGTATGCAACCACAGAAGACCCCAAATAGCCAAACCATTTTTTTCCTCTCTTTTTTTTTTTTTGAGACAGAGTCTCGCTCTGTTTGCCCAGGGTAGAGTGTACTGGTGCAATCTTGCTTCACTGCAGCCTCTTCCTCCTGGGTTCAAGAGACACTTCTGCCCCAGCCTCCCAAGTAGCTGGGATTACAGGCCCCACCACTGCACATGGCTAATTTTTGTATTTTTATTAGAGACAGGGTTTTGCCATGTTGGCCAGGCTGGTCTCAAACTCCTGACCTCAGGTGATCCACCCGCCTTGGCCTCCCAAAGTGCTGGGATTATAGGCATGAGCCACTGTACTCAGCCAACCAAAGCATTTCTGAGCAAAAAGAACGAAACTGGAGGCATCCTATCACCTTACTTCAAAATATGCTACAAAGCTGCAGTACCCATAACAGCATGATACCAGCATAAAAACAGATACACAGACCAGTGGAACAAAATAAACAACCCAGAAATAAATCCACATATTCCCAGCCAACTGTTTTTCAGTAATGGAGTCAAGAATATTCAGTGAGGGAAAGGACAGGTTCTTCAATAAATGGTGCTGGGAAAACTGGATATCCATGTGCAGAAAAACAACACGAGGTCCCTCTCTCTCACCACATACAAAAATCAAATTTAAGTGGATTAAAGGCTTAAGTACAAGACCTAAAATCATAAAACTACTAGAAGAAAATATCGGGAAAATCCTTCAGGACATTGGTCTGGGCAAAGATGTTTTGTGTAAGACGCCGAAATCACAGGCAACAAAAGCAAAAATAGACAAAGGGGATTATATCAAGCCAAAAAGCTCTACAAAGCAAAGGAAACAGAGTGAAGAGAAAGCTTATAGAATGGGAGAAAATATTTCGAAACTATCTCTCCAACAAGGGATTTATAACCAGAATACACCAGGAATTCAAACAACTCAATAGAAAAAAAACGTGATTTAAAAATGGGCAAATGATCTGAAGAGACATTTCTCAAAAGAAGACATACAAATGGTCAACAAGCATAAGAAAAAAACTCAACATCAGTAATTATCAGGCAAACGCAAATCAAAACCATAATGAGAAATCATCTCATCCCCGTTAAAATGGCTATTATTAAAAAGACAAAATAACAGATGCTGGCAAGGATACAGGGAAAGAGGATACTAGTTCACTGCTGGTGGGAATGTAAATTATTTAGTACAGCCACTATGGAAGACAGTATGAAGACTGCTCAAAACAGATCCACCACATGATCCAGCAACCCCACCGCTGGGTATATATCCAAAAGAAAGAAAATCAGTATACTGAAGAGATACTGCATGCTACAAACGTTTATTGCAGCACTATTCACAACAGTGAACATACGAAATCGACCTACGTGTCCATCAACAACCGAATGGACAAATAAAATGTTGTATGTATTATACAATGAAATATTCATTCACAAAACGAATGAAATCCTGTTCTTTGCAGCAACATGAATGGAACTGGAGGTCATTATGTTAAGTGAAACAAGCCAGGCACAGAAAGACAAATATATTTTCTCATTCACATGTGTGAGCTAAGAAAACTGATCTCATGGAGGTAGAGTGTAGAAAGGTGGTTACCAGCAGCTGAGGGGCTGGGGAGATAGAGGTTAATGGGCATAAAAATAGAGTTAGAAGGAATAAGTTCCAGTGTTCAATGGCACAATACACATCATGATTATAGTTAGCAATAATTTATTCATTATTTCAAAATAGCTAGAAGATGTGAAATGTACTCAACACAAAGAAATGATAAATGTTTGAGGTGATGGATACCCTAATTACTCTTATTTGATCATTATACATTGTATGCATGTATCAAAATATCTCATGTACCTCATAAATATGTACAATTATGTATCAATTTAAAAAGTAAAATTAAAAATACATTTAAAAACATGATATAAATACCTAGAAAAAATATTAAAAAGTGAATCAAATAAAGAGGAAATTCAAAATATCCTATAACTACTAAAGAAGCTGAATCAGTAGCTAAAAAATAACTCCACAAATAAGACACTAGGATCAAATGATTTTACAGGTGAGAGCTACCAAGTACTTGAGGTTCAGTTAACTCTAATCTTACATATTCTCCAGAGATGAGAAAGAGTGAAAACTCCTCAAATTATAATTATTAAAGGTTAGTTTAACATGATACCAAAACCATAACGAGGACAGCAAGAGAAAATTATCGGACATTCTTACTCATGAAATAGATACAAAATTCTCATCGAAAATGTTAGCAAACTGAATCCAACAATGTGTAAAGTAAGGCAATAATACGTCATGCCCAAATTGGGTTTATCCCAGGAGTGCAAATGATCTGCAGACCCTGGCTTGTGCAACAGGGTGATGGTGGTGTTGTTTACAGAGAAAGGAAGCATGGAAGTCTGGGGCTAAGATCACAACAAGAAATATGCACCAAACATAGGGAGCTTTGACTACCCAGGTAGGGCTGTCCAGGCAGCAACTGCCAGTGCTGGTCTGGAGACAGTACGGAGAATCACCAGAATAGATGTGGCACCACAAGTCCCACATGCAGGAAACTGAGTAAAGAGAGAAAAGGACGGGGTCTGAATCCTAGAGAAGCCCAGTGTTTAAGGAAGAGGAAGAGGATTCCCTAAAAAGACTGGCCAGAGAATGAGGGAAAGAAAAATCCAGGAAGACAAGAAAGATGATGATTCAAAGCCATGCAATGAGAGAAAAAGGGGACTGAAGAATTCCATCATTGGGGCCCACTATGATAGGACGGTTTCAGGATGTGGTAAGGGAAGAGGCCAGACCATTGTGAGCAGATGTGTGACTAGACAAGAGGAAACAGGAATAGGAAGCGTAGCTGATGCTTACAAGACTGGCTGAGGAGGGACACAGGGAGTATGCAAGGGCAAAGGGAGAAGCCAATGAGAGGATTAACAAATCTTAGACCATGGAAACAGGAAAAGGAGAGAGGGTGGTGAGAAAAAGTACAACATAGTTTTTGTGCTCTATATTTCCAGAATGGAAAGATCAACTGTTCTTTAGTCACAGTCCCAAGGCATCCTAATTGATGAGCGTTAACTTGTTTTTGTTGTTAATTTTTAAGTTCAGGGGTACATGTGCAGGATATACAGCTTTGTTACATAGGTAAACATGTGCCATAATGTGCCATCATCTCATCACCTAGGTATTAAGCCCAGTTATCAATGAGCTATTCTTCCTGATGCTCTCCCTCCTCCCCATCACCCTCCAACGAGCCCCAGTGTGTGTTGTTCCCCACCATGTGTCCATGTGTTCTCAGCTCCCACTTGTAAGTGAGAACATGTGGTACCTGGTTTTCTGTTCCTGCATTAGTTTGCTGAGGATAATGGCCTCCAGCTCCATCCATGTCCCTGCAAAGGACATGATCTCATTCCTTTTTATGGCTGCATAGTATTCCATGATGTATATGTACCACATTTTCTTTATACAGTCTATTGTTGATGGGCATTTAGGTTGATTCCATGTCTTTGCTATTGTGAATAGTGCTTCAATGAACACACATGTGCATATATCTTTGTAACAGAATAATTTATATTCTTTCGGATATACATCCAGTAATGGGATGACTGGGTCAAATGGTATTTCTGCCTCTAGGTCTTTGAGGAATTGCCACACTGTCTTCCACAATGGCTGAACTAATTTACACTCTCACCAACAGTGTAAAAGCATTGTTGTTTCTCTACAGCCTTGCCAGCATCTGTTCTTTTTTGACTTTCTAATAACAGACATTCTGACTGGTGTGAGATGGTATCTCACTGTGGTTTTGATTTGCATTTCTCTAATGATCAGTGATGTTGAACTTTTTTCATGTTTGTGATGACTTGCTTCTGAGGTTGATTATGCTTCTGAACTTTGGCAAACGGCAACAGCCTCCGTCCAGTGACCATGCTTCTGTGGTTAAAGGTGAACCAGTCCCTGAAAGCCCACCTATCCCTAACCTCCACATTCACCTAAATGAAGAAGGTAAGAAGCAGAAGGTATTGAGGAAAGGCCCCAGGGGACATGAGTATAAAAAGCTAAAATGGGGCCATGGGTCTTGGAAAAGAGGGAACAGAGGCCCCCTGGGAACAGAGGAAAGGAGTAGGCTGACAACAAGACACTGCAGCAGTCGCACAGCCGCTGACAACTACCCTTCAGGTCACATGCACAGAGAACTGGCGACTTGGAAAGGCTGCATGATTTGTATAGGAGCCAGGAATCAAACCACCTCTGTCTGACTACAAGGCTGATGTTCTTCAACACAGCCTCCCCAGCTGTCCTCCTTTAAACTTTGATAGCATTTCTGGGATCATCTCATGTCACTTTCCACACTCTGGCTTTCACTCGTTATATGTGGGTTTGTTTCACTTACATCCACCTTACTCTAAAATTGAAGTTCTTTGTGAAGCCCTACAGGTTTTCACATGGCAAGTGCTTACTGAGGAAGTGAATACGTTTATAATGACCAAATCTGTTACATGCCAACTTGCTTTCAACAGTGCTTTTGCAAATGTCCTTCCCAAGTGATACAGTCCATCCCCACTCCAATCTTCTGTGCAGCATGCATGTACTCAGCACTTCTCTGCCATAGACATTACAAAGGCAAGGCCACACTGCACATCTCATTTATCACAAGCTCCAAATTAGCAAATTTAGTCTTACTAAAGAGATTTCACCATCTTTGCAGGTATGAGACCAAAAAGCTCTTCTTACCTGAATTTTGATGGGCCAGGTGAAATTACTGACATAAACAAAGAAAGTGATATTTGGGTGGTTGCGAAAATCAAACTTCTCATTAGAGAAACTATCTTTGTACTCCTTAATGTTGGTTTTTGAAACAACAGGCATCTCTTCTCCAGCCTGGGTTCCAGCTGTTAGAAGAAAAACATGAAAGAGAAGAGACATTTTTGGGGGGGTAGGGGGAGAACAGAATCTGGCCTCATTAATAATAAGGACAACAACATTTATCAAACATTTCCTGTGTTCCAGTAATAGCCTTTAAGAGCTCAATCTCATTTAATCCTCACAGTTGCCCTATTATTATCTTCATTTACAGATTGGGAAATTGAGGTTCAGAGAAAGTAACTAACTTCCCTCAAGTCACATAGCCAGCAAGAAATGAAGATAAGATTTAAAGCTGGGCAGGCTGATATACAAGCCTATGCCCCTAACCAAAATGGCTTTACCAGCTGGGTGTGGTGGCTCACACCTGTAATCCCAGCACTTTGGGAGACCGAGGTGGGTGGATCACCTGAGGTCGGGAGTTCAAGACCAGCCTGACAAACATGGAGAAACCCTGTCTCTACTAAAAATACACAATTAGCCAGGCGTGGTGGCGCATGCCTGTAATCTCAGCTACTCAGCAGGCTGAGGCAGGAGAATCGCCTGAACCCGGGAGGCAGAGGTTGCGGTGAGCCAAGATCGTGTCATTGCACTCCAGCCTGGGCAACAAGGGTGAAATGCCGTCTCAAAAAAAAAAAAAAAAAAGTTTTACCAGGAATCCATGTAACTCCCTTCCACCCTTGCCCCACCCCCAAACAGGCGACATACATGATCATGAAAACACAGACACCAGTAGAATCCTATCAACAAGCACTGGCATTCACTTTGCCCACACCACTTCAATTCCTTTGCATTTCTCCTTTACACCTCCTTGGCAATGTGCCAGACTCCCATGCCAGTAATGCTGATGTACCGCTCACTGCCTAACCCACAGTAGCAGGGAGGAGGGGCTCAAGGGGTCACTCGGTCCTCCCTTCTACTGCCAGCTACCATGGTATTTAAGTCCTCCTAATCTGGTATAACTCCATCCTATTCTCAGACAGTCCTTCAATGTTCCACATTCTCCCTCAGCCAGGAATTCAAGTGCTGATAAAGATTAATGAAATGGACTTTTTTCCATGTCTGAGTTAGACCCTGTGACTAGAGCCCAGATTATCACGTCTTCATTGAGACACTCACTGCAAATTTTTTTTTTTTTTCTTTTTTTCAGATGGCGTTTCGCTCTTGTTGTCCAGACTGGAGTGCAATGACGCAATCTTGAACCTCCGCCTCCCAGGTTCAAGCAATTCTCCTGCCTCAGCCTCTTAAGTAGCTGGGATTACAGGCATGCGCCACCACACTCAGCTAATTTTGTATTTTCAGTAGAGACGGGGTTTCACCATGTTGGTCAGGCTGGTCTTGAACTCCTGACCTCAGGTAATCCACCTGCCTCAGCCTCCCAAAGTGCTGGGATTACAGGCATGAGCCACGGCCCAGCTCACTGAAAATCTTTCACATGCCTGGAGATGCTGCCTTTCTCCAAAGACTCTGATAATTCAGACTTTTTCTTAAAAGTCTCTCCTCATTGCGAGTTTCTGAACTTTTCTCAAATTCAACACAATGTTTTAAGACGATAAATGTAAGTGGCGTGCACAAGGTAATATTCTTATTTTGCATCACTCTAATTGGTTTGTGTTTTTGATTTTTAAAAAACCCAGTATTGTAATAGTAATAATGACGATAAAATATAGTTACCATTTACCGTAACATTTCAAGCACTACACTGACTACTTCATTTATTATCCCATTTAATTCTCACATCACTCTACTTGGGAAGGTGGTTTTTTTTTTGTTTGTTTTTTTAAATTTTTTTTTTTTTGAGATGGAGTTTCACTTTGTCACCGAGGCTGGAGTGCAGTGGCGTGATCTCGGCTCACAGCAACCTCTACCTTCAAGGTTCAAGCAATTCTCCTACCTCAGCCTCCTGAGTAGCTGGGATTACAGGCACGTACTTCCACGCCTGGCTGATTTTTGTATTTTTAGGAGAGATGGGGTTTCGCCATGTGGGCCAGGCTGGTCTCAAACTCTTGACCTCAGATGATTTGCCCACCTTGGCTTCCCACAGTGCTGGGATTACAGGCAAGAGCTATCACGCCCTGCCAGGATGGCGTTTTTACTATCCTACTTTATACAGGAGGAAACTGGCTCAGAAACCTTAAGTAACTTGCCTAACAGCACAGTGCAAGTAAATTTAATGGACAAATTTCAAACCCGTATCTACTTGTTGAGTTATCAAGTAGTGATTATCCTTTTTTCTTTCTTTTTTTTTTTTTTGAAGAGATGGGATCTTGCTCTGTTTGCCCACACAGGAGTGCAATGGCACGATCATGGCTCAGAGCAGCCTCCAACTCCTGGGCTCAAGTGATCCTCTCATCTCAGCCTCCTGGGTAGTTGGCATTACAGGTATGCATCACCACACTCGGTTTTTTTTTTTTTTCTTTTTTTTGTAGAGACAGGGTCTCACTATGTTGCCCAGGCTGGTCTTAAACTCCTGAGTTCAAGCAATCCTCCTGCCTCAGTCTCCCAAAGTGTTGGGATTAAAGGCATGAGTCATAGCACTTGCCCTTCACCCTTTATTTCTTTAGATTTTCTACACAGTAGATCTTCAGTGCATCACAGTAAGACAGACAGTAAGAGCTGCGCTTTTAGAGCTTGATGTAATTCCCAAGTTACATTTCTCTGCACCTACTGAAATCTCATTTTATTTAAAATGTTTTCATTTATTGAAACGATGAGTCATTTGAATTTTTCACTTCTGAAGCATGGATTTAGACAATGATGGTAGTGCCAGTGGCCACAGCAAGAACAGAAATGGTGGTGGTGGGCTAGGGTAGTAACCACACAGAGCCTGACACCACAGCAAACTCTGGTAGGTATAACCTAATTTAATCTATACAACAATTCTAAGAGGTAAGTATCATGCTCACTTTACAGATGAATAAAATAATGTTAAGGTTTATAGAGGGATTTAGACACTTGCTCAAGGTCTCATAGTTAATAAGTGGCAAGGGTGGTTTCAAACCAATCTGTCTCCTAAGCTCGCTTTCTCAATTCCTATATTACATTTCTTAATCTATCACACCTCCATTTGGGGGGTCTTCTCTAGGTGTGTCTTTACCTGAGAAGCTGGCAGCCCAGGTGATGTTGAGGTTGAAATTCTTAGAGGCATTGATGAACATGTCCAAATCCCTGTTTTGCTGATGAGAGGTACAAATTATTAGAAAATTAATTAAAACAGTTTCTAGATTTTAAAATAAAGCAATAAAGTTTACTCCTCTAAACGTTCTTAATAACAAATATTTTATGATGTCTTTAGAGAAACTCACAGAAGAATTAGCAAAATTTCTAACCAATTTTCCTTAATACAAGCACATATCCCAATAAAATTTCATTCCCTCCCATAAAAAGTATACGTAATTTAATGCTTTATCAAATGCCTAACTGCATGAGAAAGTGCCTTTTAAAAAGACCCCTATCAGAGCACAATGATTTGCATCTTCTGACTCGTGTTGGGGGATCAGCCTCCTAAAGATTCTCTGGGCAGCTGTTTTCAAATGTCTGAAGTTCACTCCTATCAATAAAACACTTGATCAAGTGCCCTAAATTATATTTATTTATAACTGAAACCCATGTAATTCTAAACTCATAGATTATATACAGTGTAAAACTTCTCCAAAACTTGAAACAGCCTTTAAAAACAGCATATAAAGCCGACATGTACTTAATTTAAAAATAATTTTATTATATTCATGATTTGAAAAATACTTTTCTCTTACTAAAAATATAATTTCAAGAGAAATATGATTGAGTATGGCTTCTTAGTTTTGAAAATCTTGTCGACCACTTTATAGCAGTTCACAGGGCTAATCTAACTTAATTTATTTTGATCCTTGGTCTTAATGACTAATAAAGATATTGCTGAGGAATCTGTTAAGCCAACGGAGGAAGTGTACTGTCGGTGATATTAGGTAAATTATAACATTAATAATTAGTCAAACTGAAATTTTACTAGTACATTTCTTAACTGGAGTCTAATTATTTCTGCAAACTAATCAATGTTATATTTTTATCTTTTACAGAAGAATCCAACTGTACTGAAATTATTCATTTTTAAAAGATCTTGAGAGGTTAGAATAAATAAGGGTGTTGTTTTGATCACTTTAATAGCACAAAATCACAACAACGGAAGCATTTCCAAACAGCTATCTTTAAAATGTGATCATTAAACCAGAAATTGCCCTCACAAAGCATTTACCTTCTCATTTACTGATAAGACCTCATCTTCATCTTGAAAGGACAGCTCAAGTGTTTACTTATTTGTATTTAGTATTTGCTGGCAGCACACAACTAACAATTACAGTCATCCCTTGGTATACGTGGGTCATTGGTTCCAGGAATCCCTGAGCATGCCCAAATCCACACATACTCAAGTCCATAGTCTGCCCATAGAACCCTTGCATATGAAAAGTCCACCCTCCGTATACTCAGGTTTCACATCTTGCAAATACTATATTTTCATTACATGTTTGGTTGAAAAAAGTCTGCGTATAAGTGGATCTTCACAGTTTTAACCTGTATTGCTCAAGGGTCAACTATACGTCTTTCCACAGAAAGAATCAATAAACTTAAAATCCTTGTGCTTTTATAGAAGACAGAACATATGCATTTGGATAACTCTAGTAAGTATTCTGTTAAGATAAACTGGGAAATCCAGAAAGGTCCAAATATTTTCATGATCACTTCCCACCTGGTTAAGAAGTATTACAAAGATTCTACTATATTTATTTTTTTAATGAAATTAATAGCATCAAGTACATCCTGAAAGATTTTGAGCACTTCAAACACTTGCTTATGAGGCAGTGAATATATTACATGTGTGGTATTTTTGTTATAATCTTATTCTAAAATCTTTAAGAAAAAAATTCCAGTCAATACAGCCACTCAAATGATATATTAATACCTACAGTTTTTCCATAAAATAATTCACTTAAAGTAATTTATTATTTTTACTTAAAAAGCAATTTACTTTTGAGAATGTATCTTTTCTAGTATATTTTTTCTTAATTTTATCATTGAAATAGAATATTAAAAACAAATCCTATTTTCATTTACTTGTATAGTAAACATACCACACTATAGACTTTGTTCTACTTTTAAAATTAAATTTAGCAATGTTTATAGATAACATTTGTTAACAAAGCAATATACTTTGGCTTACTGTCATATTGTTTTCCATGTATTATTTGTCACATTTACTGTCAATGGAATTTTGTAATGGTAAATGGCTTTGTGTATGTTCATGAGAAGTAAGAAATCTCCAAGGAAGTTCCTAAATAATTTACCATTAAGTTTAGCAAAATTTCTTTAAATACAGAGGTGGGTACTGCATGGCTTTATATTTCATTGAAGAAGCTGTACAGGTGCATCTTCGTGTTCTGGATGCTTCAGTTTTAAATGTCACGCAGTGTGGCCTTCCTTCCACCATTAGGTAATACCTTAAGGCAGGCTGGGCTTCATCATTAATGACAGCAGATAAAAAATCCACATTTTACACACATATTTTAACAATTTAAAGTACTCCTGGCTAAATTCTTATTGGACCTCACTAAGCCTTTGCCGTTTTGCCTCCTAATGAGGCTAAGAACTCACTCTAGGAGCAGAAGTGTTCCCTCCTTTGCTGTCTGATTGGGGCTGCATCACTGGCATTTCAATCAGCAGAGTCTTTGAGCTTCTGGTCACTCTTGAGAGAGTAAATCCAGGCTCTGGTGTCTGCCCTCTGATGGTGGAGTCCCCTTTCTATATGAGGCCGTGATGGGCTGACAGGCAGAGTAAGTATGTGTGGAATCAATGTCAGTCTGCGTCTAAGATCCTGGTAAATCTTATTAACACCACTTTTGCTTTTTACGTGGAAAGGAGATAATACAGATTCTAACATTTCTTTCCTATACCTCTAGAGATCATCTCGTATACTCCAGTTTGGAGAGCACTGCTAAGGCAGTACTTCTATCCATTATGACCAAGAAAGAGATCCATACAAATTCAAAACAAAATAGGAAGACTTTAAAAAATCTTACTTCATCAGGAGTAGCCACAAAATTGATAGCTGTGTAATAGCGGTCATCTTCCTGGGATAGACTGAAAGTGAACTGATAGTCAATAAGAAGAGTATCTATGGAAAGAAAGAAATGCATATTTAAAAACTACACACACGCACAAAATACAACAGGTCTTTAGAGATACAGGCTGCTTTTCTTATAAAGTAATGAGGAAGGCACTTTAACTCACCTGTACCTAGGTTCCTCAAAGAAAATCAAGTCTGTGGGCAGTATCATTTTATTTGGGTTAACCCATCAAACTGCTTTAAAGAAATGACCAGTTGTACAGTTTCAGCATAATATCAAATAACATCTGTAATTATCTGAAAAGGCTATTAAAAGGGTATTATTATACCCTTTTCCAACTGCATGTCTGGTAAGGCCAGGTTTTTTTCATGTGTTTAACCAAAAAGATGTCCTGCAACAGACTGAATGCAGAAGCAGACACGAGATTACCACTGTCTTCTGTAAAGCCATGGCATTAGCGTTGGATTCTAATCACTTTAGGGCTGTATCTGACTGTGGTTTTAGTATCTCCATTCCAAATAACTAATGATGTTAAGTCATTTTTAATGTGCTTATTGGCCACTGTAATATCTTCTTTCATGAAATGTCTTTTCAAATATTTGCCTGTTTTTAACTGGAACTGTCTTCTTATTCAGTTGTAAGAAGAGTTCCTTATGTATTTTGGATACAAACTCTTTATCAAATATATGATAATTTGTCAATATTTTCTCTAGTCTGTGGCTTTTTATGTTTTGGATGGTTTTTTCCTACAAGTTTTAAATTTTTATATAGTTTCATTTTAAATTTTTATATAGTTTCATTAATCTACTTTCTGTTTATGAATTATGCTTTTAGAAACATATCTAACAACTTTTCCCCACGGAAGGTCAAGATATTTTTCTCTTATTTTCTTTTAGAAGTTACATGTGTGTATATACATATATATATATAAAGTCACATTCACAGGTTCCAAGCACACATGAATTTTGAAGGGACGTTATTCAACCCAGTACAGCAGGTATATAATTACAATGGATATGCCATAACATTAACTCCTTTTTTCTGGTTCCATACTCTGGTCTACCATGTGCATTCTCCCATAAAGAGAAAACACATTTACCCATAAAAACCTGGTGACCTTGCCAGACTGACCTTTCACCCCAAGGTGGTTAACACAAATCAGTTCCAGACAGAATGACAAAAACTTCAACCATATTTTAAGAATTCTGTTTTTGATCTATGTCCTAAAACACGAAATATGATGACCCCAACTAGGTAATGGCAAATAAAGTTTTCAGAGAACATAACATGGAAAGACAGAGATGCATGCCTCTCTACTCTCTCCTGCTATCTGCTATGGACACATTAACGTTAACCCCAAACACAATTAAAACAGGTTAAAATAGTGCTCCTATAAGTAGTAAACTTAACAGAATGTAAACATATCAAGTTAGGGAACACTTCATTGGTGGTTGCTATAGTCCTATAGCACTTATCATTCTCAAACGAGGTTAAACAATGAAGTTTTACTGAACTACTTTGCTTCTAGAAATAAGAATTGCAAAACCACTTACAATAACATGTTCCTTTGAGAGGGTTTCCCTGGTATCGATTTTCTACCTCACATCTGGGGGAAAAAACAAAGACTATTTATACTTCTATTTAAAACTGAAGCTGAATTCATTTTAAAACCAAGCAGATCCTTTTATATAAAGTACAGACAGTCTGGAGTCATTATAACTGCATCCTTCACCATAACTCAGCTCAGGTAGTCTACGAAGAGCATGCATGTTTCAATACTGACTGCTCAGCAGTTCACACACCAACTATATGAAGACAATTGACAAGCATTTGCCAAAGCAATGAGAAAAATCCAAACGCAATACACCTATTTGCTATAATGAAAAACACATTTTCAATTTTGTGTGGACTACATATTCTTCTAAAAGTGCAGTCAAAACATTTTTCAAATACTAATTTCTCACTTCTTTCCTATGTTCCCTGGATAAACTAATTCTCTTCTTTAAACACAAGTGAGAGAAGACTAAATACCAAGAATCACTGTTTTTTTAAAACCCTGGAACAAGTGTTCACCAGTATGTAGAAAAAAAATGTGTTCTCCTCAGAAAACAATTTTCCCATAGATATCATCTATAAACATCAGCAAAACCCAGCCTCCCACTTCACAAAGCCATTTAGGTAAACACAACAGCTATGCACGAAGAGGAAAGGGCGGGAAGCAGGTGACGGCCTTTCCCAGGCAGGCATGCTGTGTCCCTTCAGCCAGGGTGATGAGCAGCACCTGCCTACATCTGTGATCTTGAAGGAACTTGAAAGTCTTACTTGATGCCACCTCATGTCTTTGTTGCATCAGCTGACGGTAAGAGTGATTAATTTTGCCTGATCATATTTTTCTGTTTAAAGGAATGTGGACCTAAAAGTTAAATTTAACCTTGGATTAGACTTTTCTTCACATATTGGCTTTAGGGCAACATGAAACTAGTAAACATATATGCAAATATAAACTAAAAAGGTAGACAGACCAAACCCTGCTGAGTAGCACTAGCGATGACGTCTCAATCACTGGTGGCATTATTACTACTGTTATTTAAGAAATAATGATGTTTGGCCGGGCACGGTGGCTCACGCCTATAATCCCAGCACTTCGGAAGGCTGAGGCAGGCGGATCACGAGGTCAGGAGATCGACACCATCCTGGTTAACACGGTGAAACCCTTTCCCTATTAAAAAACATAAAAAATTAGCTGGGTGTGGTGGCGGGCGCCTATAGTCCCAGCTACTCGGGAGGCTGAGGCAGGAGAATGGCATGAACCCAGGAGGCAGAGCTTGCAGTGAGCCAAGATCGTGCCACTGCACTCCAGCCTGGGCAACAGAGCAAGCCTCCGTCTCGGAAAAAAAAAAAAAAGAAATAATGATGTTTACAATGATTAATCGGCTCAGTGTTTTGATACTAAATACTTTTAAGTCGCCTCTTGAGAATGAGTAAATGCGGATGCATGCGTTTTATGAGGTTTCCCCGTGAGACAGCCCGGTATACACTGATTGAGGAACTATCCTTCTATTTCAACTTAACAGGACATCAAAAACAACTATGGCTAGTCCCACTATTGACAGATGTGGGGAACAGTGATTTGCCTCAAGAGCACCTTGCTCAGTGGAGGCAGGGCCAGGTCTGAAATCTTAAATGTGCCTGATGCTGCTGCACCTGCATCCTCATGGATGGGGACTCCAAACCCTCTCCAGGAAGATGCCTGACATGCTTCAACAAGGAAAATACTAGAGTAACAGCAAATGTTAAAGGTAAGAGGATCATTTCCACAATCAGACAACCAAACGCCAAATAAATGCCATCACCAAAACACCAGCTCTTCCAACTCTACTCTTTGGGAGAGTACAATCTCTCCACATGACAAAAATCAAGTAGTTGCTGAAGTTAAAATGACTAATCCGAATGGACAACCCAGGAAATGTCAGTATCACTTAAACAAAAATGTGAATTCAAGAGCCATTAAGGAATTGCTGCTAACTCGACGACCTCCTCAGTTTGGAGATTGACCTGTCTGAAGTAGAATGGGCAAACTTTCAAACTAATCAACCCAGAGATCCCTCCGAGTCCACAGCAACAAGACACAGGGAAGCGGGTGGCTCTCAGGATGGGGTTCAGGCAGCTGCACAGCCTCTTGGTCCTCCCTGGTGGTCCAGGGAGTGTGGTACTCACAGCTGGCACTCGTCCCCCTTGACGCCCTTGGTGGTACAGAAGCACTTGCCCGTGTTGGTGTTGCACAGCGACGCGTGCCCATTGCACTTGCATGCTGCAGAGAAGAAAAACGAATGGAGGTCACAACTGGCTTAAAAAATTCTGACTATTGGAGACTTTTTCCAAAACAAGCAATTTTATCTGAATTGAGTTCAGTAGGAAAGACAGATTAAAGTAAGAGCATTCAATGGGCAAGATTCATGATTTTTCAGCTAATGATAATAATGTACAGGTAACATTAAAGGAACCAAAATCAAAGGACAGGAGGAAAGTAAATGCTGGTACCCACTGCCTTCTGAAGCAATGACTATTCTGATCTTTTCAATAGACTCTCTTTTTCACTGCTATGATTCTTTCATTCATTCAATAAATATTTGTGAAGCATCTCTAGAATGCCAGGTGGTGGGTGTGGGGACACAGACATAGCCGCTGCCTCTAGGAAGGTGCTCTGGAGGTGACTGTCCTCTGAAGGAGGGCTGGTCTTGGCTGAGGTGCCTTCTCCATGATGGCCACATTTGGAATTACCGCAGGACTCAGAACCAGGATCCAACGCCAAGGTCAGCGCTTTAGGGGCCCTCCAGACGTGCCACCCTTGCTTCACCTTCTTTTTTGCCTTTACAGAAAATAGCTCTTTCCATCTCCCTCCTCTGGCCATCTCAACATCTCTCCTTTTATCATCCAACATAATACAAGCTGTGATAAATATTATACTCCAGTTGAAGAAAATGAAAGGTTTTTTGGTCAACACCTTTTCACTTTATACCCTGTTTTGCTGGTGAATAAACGAAAGGCATTCAGTTGGAGGAAGGTATGCTTTAAAAATAAATCCTTTGGGGAAAAAAATCACCCAAAGAAAACTATAAAACAGAATAGTGCAGAGATTAACAGAATGGATGCTAAAGTCAGAATCGTGAGTGTTTGATGTTTGGCTCTGTTGAGACTGGGGGAAGGTGTGTAATTTATTAGTGAGAAGCAAAGGCCTTATGTCCGTCTGCCTGGGTTTGAATCCAGCTTACTCTACTTGGCTCTTCTGTCACTCTGGAAATGCTACTTAACCTTTCTGAGTCTCAGCTGCCTTGTCCATATAATGGGGATAACAACGGTACCTATCTCATAGGGGTGTTTTTGATGATATGTGTATGATGTCTCAAACATAGTAAGCATCCAAGAAACCATGGCTACTATCCTTACCTGAGGACTATACAATTTTAAGAAGAAAACATCAAAGACTTGGTGCCATTTGCAGTATTCTTTTTTGTTTTTGAGACAGGGTCTTGCTATGTTGCCCAGGCTGGAGTGCACTGGCGCAATCTCGGCTCACTGCAAGCTCCGCCTCCTGGGTTCACACCATTCTCCTACCTCCGCCTCCCGAGTAGCTGGGACCACAGGCACCCACCACCATGCCTGGCTAATTTTTGTATTTTTAGTAGAGACGGGGTTTCACCTTGTTAGCCAGGATGGTCTCGATCTCCTAACCTTGTGATCCGCCTACGTCGGCCTCCCAAAGTGCTGGGGTTACAGGCGTGAGCCACTGCGCCCGGCCGATTTGCAGTATTCTAAACACCACGCTTTCTACTGTGGATTAGGACTCTGAAAAATAAGGCAAACTCTAAGTTCTATACAATTGTACTCAGGCCCTATAGATCTCACAGAGGAAAAGGTGATGCTTCCAGATAGTAGCTGCTGATGTGGGGATGATGGCATCTGGAAGTACAACCAGCCCAGTAGTTAAGGTCAGCACAGACTGGACGTGGTTCTCAGCTTGGCCATATCTCACTGAGAGACCCTGGGCAGTTTACTTGATCTTGGGGATAATAAAAGCACCTGTATCTTGAGTGGCTAACAGCACAATGCCTTGTACACTCTACCACTCTGTTAGGTACTCTAGTTACTGTCTAACGGATAAAGTCTATTCACAAAGAGTGGGAAAATATTTTTACCAAGTACCTTTTAATCTGAGCAAGAACTTTTACTTAGGAGTAGTGGGGAATGGCATTAGAAGGGTAATAAGAATTGCCCACGTCTACTGAGTATTGACTAGTATCCTGCAGAATGTGTGTCATGTACTGCTCTGCTTTCATCTCAACAACCACCCCATTATTATGAGGAAACTGAACCCCAGGGAGAGTAAGGGACATACAGCTAGAACACTGCCTCTCTCCTGGCTGGTCTTGGATTAGATTCTGAAGGGTCATGCCAAAGTTTGGAGTTGGGATCTGGGAAGTAGGTAGAGATTTCCCTATGTTTACTTTTCCTGCTCAGAACTTTGAAGAGTCTTTCAACTATAGTACTCAATATGTTTTTCTGCTGGAAACTAGAATAAAAAAAGCAGTTCATAAGTATTACTTGTCATAATTTTTGATCTCATAATAAAATGTCCTATTGCTTGCAGGCTTCTATTTGACATAAAAGGGAAACACAGGACTTTCTTTCTTTCTTTTTTTTTTTTTTTGAGACTGAGTCTCACTCTGTTGCCCGGGCTAGAGTGCAGTGGCGTGATCTTGGCTCACTGCAATCTCCGCCTCCCAGGTTCAAGCAATTCTCATGCCTCAGCCTCCTGAGTAGCTAGGATTACAGGCACCCACCACCACGCCCAGCTAATTTTTCTATTTTTAGTAGAGATGGGGTTTCACCATGTTGGCCAGGCTGGTCTAAAACTCCTGACCTCAAGTGATCCACCCGCCCTGGCCTCCCAAAGTGCTGGGATTACAGGTGTGAGCCACTGTGCCCAGCCAACACGGGACTATTTAAATCTTTAAAATACACTAGAAGTATTGAGGAGTCTGGCTCCTGGTTAAAAAGCCTCTGTGTGATTTTTTAGGCCTGACCATAGGCAATGACATAGGCTTTACCTGGCTGCCCTCGGGGAAGGGGGACCTCCCTACAGGCAGAGTGTGACCTATGAGGTGGGCCTGAGTGTGGGGCTCTGAGAGAGGTGCAGTTAAGGACTCAGGTCTACCTCATGGGTCACGCTCCTTCACATGTTTACATTCCTAGCCCTGGAGCCTTCATTCCCAGGCTCCCTATCTGAGGCCTTGGGCTGAGGTCTTCTTCAGGCACCAAGGCCTCCTGATGGGGGGAAGAAGGGGAATTCAGAAGACACTTTCCTAACTGACTCCAACTCAGGACTTTCCTACTCCTAGCCCTTACACCTTGCCCTCCCCACAACCTTAGGGTCCATATACTGCTGGAACCTTTTGTCCAGGGCTCTCTCCTCAGTGAGACGAGCCCCAAGACTCCCATGTCTGAGCTGATCCCTCTGACTATTGACCTGTGCCCTGTTCAATGGGAGGAAAGGAAACAGAAGTTGGCACTTTCTCTGGTTTTGGGCCCTTGTTTATACCACTGCAGAATGTGGTCAGCTTAACTCTAACATTTTTGGCTTGTTGCTTTAACTGGCTACACTGAAACCTTAGTTCTTTCTTCCAGATCAGCTGAGCCTCTGACCAGTATGATTTAATAAGAAATGTGGTATCCAAAACAAAGTGGCTTTTTTCCTCCTACTCAAGTCAAAAAGAAGTACTGTGTTCCACACCGATTTGCCATGAGTAAATCTGACCAATTTGACTTACGCTGACATTTCCCTCCGTTGGTGGGATCACCGTAGAAGCCAGATATGCAGGTCTCGCAGTGCTTGCCTGTGGTCAGGTTCTCACATTTCTCACAGATGCTCTGATTGATGCATTTACTGTGGCCATTGCATTGGCAAGCTGGAAGAAAAAGAGTTTCAAGGGGTCTGTACCATGGAAGAACTGCATGGAGTAAGTTCAACAAGATTTATCTGCAACTATCTCTGTAGTTAATTTATCTTTGATAAATCACCCAAACTGGCCCATTAAAAACTAATTTGAGAAATAAGATAAAAAATATCAAAGAAGAGCTAGTCCAGGAAAACTGAAAATGTATCACAGCAAGGTGAAAGCCCATAGTGACACTAAAAAATATTTTTTGTTGTTACTCACTAAAAAATAACATATGCTCATGACAGTATATTTAAAAAATAGAAGGATGGGAAAGATCATATACAATCCAACCACCCAGAGACCACTGTTCACATTTGATATCTTTTCTTCTGGTATTTTTCTATACAGTGTTACACAATTATGTTCATATTAATATTCATCTTTCTTTTTTAACTTAGATCATAATTATTTTACCACATTATTTCATTAATTATCAACAAAACTTTAAATGGCAGAATGATTTTGATGAATCTTAACAGTTATTTTACCATTCTCTTATATTCTAATATTTAGTTTGCTTCACATTTTTCATTATTAGAAAAATAACCATCTTTATGGATAAACATTTCCACAAGTGGGATTACTAAGACTCCTAATAGATATAAGGCTTTACAACTAGAAAGGTATATGAAGCTTGGACCTCTGAGGACTGCTCAGGACAGCTGCGCAGGCTGTGCACTGCAGAACTCTAAGGAGGAATGGGATGGGGGAGATATTTACAAGTTGCACAACCTGCTCTGTAAGCAAAATCTGATTCTTCAGATCTGCCTTGGTTGATCAATGTGATGTAGTTTTTCACCATCTTGGCAACCTTCTATAGCCTTGTACCTGTTCTGTTTATGCACCTGTTAGTATTTGAGTGTTTGAAAGAAAACTCAGCTGGGTGTGGTAGCTCACGCCTATAATCCCAGCACTTTGGGAAGCCGAGGTGGGTGGATCACTTGAGGTCAGGAGTTCGAGACAAGCCTGGCCAACATGGTGAAACCCCGTCTCTACTAAAAATACAAAAAATTAGCCAGGGGTGGTGGCAGGTGCCTGTAATCCCAGCTACTTGGGAGGCTGAGGCAGGAGAACTGCTTGAACCCGGGAGGCGAAGGTTGTAGTGAGCCGAGAAAGCACCATTGCACTCAAGCCTGAGCAACAAGAGCAAAACTCCACCTCAAAAATGAAAGAAAAGAAAAGAAAACAGAAAAGAGAAGGAAAGGAAGAGAATGAGAAAAGAAAGAAAGAAAGAAAGAAAGAAAGAAAGAAAGAAAGAAAGAAAGAGAAAGAGAAAGAGAGAGAGAGAGAGAGAGAGAGAGAGAGAGAGAGAAAGAAAGAAAGAAAGAAAGAAAGAAAGAAAGAAAGAAAGAAAGAAAGAAAGAAAGAAAGAAAGGAGCTATTAAGGCGAATTGCTAACTTACCTTCCTCAATCAATATTATTTTCATCATTCGAAGACACCTGCATTTCAACATTCATCAAACACAAACACGCTTCATGATTACATACGCTTCATTCACATCAAAGAATTTACCACTTCTTCAATGAACATCATCATAACAAGAACACATTTACAATGAATGCAGATTCAAATCATCAAATCACATTGATATTTGCAAACACATTCATCCATCATCCGCGAACATCAAATGAACATTCATTAACTTGATTTGACAATGATCATTACGAATGAATATATCAACATTGACAAGCACATCATCACCTGAACATCGTCTGATTTTCGAATTTCGCAAGAATTTCGTCACCATGAACATCACACTCATCACAGATACACATTATTCAAATGACAATCAAAGACATCGTCTTGAAGATTATTATTTCAGATATGATACTTCTGATGGACATCACACTTCATTCATCAGATTAGATCACAACGATTCACTTCAGTCAGGTCTTCTGATCATCAATCACCTTCGCTTCTGATTCATTCCGCACATTTTCATCGCTTATTCAAACATGAAGAATCACAATGAAGACATCGTCGCTTCATTAATGATCTTCACATATCCGCCAAACACAACAACACATTCACAACATGGACAACACAATCCTGAGAACCACCACAAACACAACAGAACGTGAGATCATTGAAACACGCACATCAATTATTTCATGAATATTGAATGCAATCATTAGGAGAATACAACAATCATCATGTCAGAGAATCAATCATCCACCTGCTTCATCGCCCTGACAACATCATCTTCGATCTTCGGCACTGAAACAATCATCCAACAGCTTGATTGAACAAGACAAATCAACATAACAACATCACCATCTTATCTGAATGATCACATTTCACACAAGACTAATAGCTTCAAACAATTTGTTTCAGAGAGAGAGATTTGAAGCAATGAATGATATCATTGAACCTGCCGCCTCAAACGTCTCCATCAGATTAGCTTATCCACCAGCATCCCATCAACCATCTTCACCTGATCCTACTGCACACATCATCCTCTACCTGGCTAGGATGGTCTCGATCTCCTAACTCAGATCCGCCACGCCTCGGCCTCCCAAAGTGCTGGGGTTACAGGCGTGAGCCACTGCGCCCCGGCCGATTTGAGGGTATTCTAAACAACACTACGCTTTCTACTGTGGATTAGGACTCTGAAAATAAGGCAAACTCTAAGTTCTATACAATTGTACTTTGTGGCCCTATAGATCTCACAGAGGAAAAAACAGATGCTTCCAGATAGTAGCTGAGGGGATGATGGCATCTTGGAAGTACAACCAGCCCAGGTAGTTAAGGTCAGCACAGACTGGACGTGGGTTCTCAGCTTGGCCATATTCTACTGAGAGACTCCTGGGCAGTTTACTTGATCTGGGGATAATAAAAGCACCTGTATCTTGAGTGGCTAACAGCACAATGCCTTGTACACTCTGCCACTCTGTTAGTACTCTAGTTACTGTCTAACGGATAAAGTCTATTCACAAAGAGTGGGAAAATATTTTTACTTTTCAAGCACCTTTTAATCTGAGCAAGAACTTTTACTTAGAGAAAGGGGGAATGGCATTAGAAGGGTAATAAGAATTGCCCACGCCTACTGAGTATTGACTAGTATCCTGCAGAATGTGTGTCATGTACTGCTCTGCTTTCATCTCAACAACCACCCCATTATTACAGGGGGAAACTGAAACTTCAGGGAGAGTAAGGGACATACAGCTAGAACACTGCCTCTCTCCCATGGGTCTTGGATTAGATTCTGAAGGGTCATGCCAAAGTTTGGAGTTGGGACTGTGGGAAGTAGGTAGAGATTTCTCATGTTTACTTTTTCCTGCTCAGAACTTTGAAGAGTCTTTCAACTATATAGTACTCAATATGTTTTTTTCTGCTGGAAACTAGAATAAAAGCAGTTCATAAGTATTACTGGCTTGGCAATTTTTGATCTCATAATAAAATGTCCTATTGCTTGCAGGCTTCTATTTGACATAAAAGGGAAACACAGGACTTTCTTTCTTTTTTTTTTTTTTTTTTTTTTTGAGACTGAGTCTCACTCTGTTGCTCCGGCTAGGAGTGCAGGGCGTGATCTTGCTCACTGCAATCTCCGCCTCCCAGGTTCAAGCAATTCTCATGCCTCAGCCTCCTGAGTAGCCAGGATTACAGGTACCCACCACCACGCCCAGCTAATTTTTCTATTTTTAGTAGAGATGGGTTTCACCATGTTGGCCAGGCTGGTCTTAAACTCCTGACCTCATGTGATCCACCCGCCTTGGCTCCCAAAGTGCTGGGATTACAGGTGTGAGCCACTGTGCCCAGCCAACACGGGACTATTTAAATCTTTAAAATACACTAGAAGTATTGAGGAGTCTGGCTCCTGGTTGGAAAAGTTTTTCCTGTGTGATTTTTTTAGGCCTGACTCATAGGCAATGACATAGGCTTACCTGGCTGCCTCGGGGAAGGGGGACCTCCCTACAGGCAGAGGTGACCTATGAGGTGGGCCTCTCTGGAGTGTGGGGCCTGAGAGAGGTGCAGCAGACTCAGGTCTACCTCATGGGTCACGCTCCTTCAGCATGTTTACATTCCTAGCTCCCGAGCCTTCATTCCCAGGCTCCTATCTGAGGCCTTGGGCTGAGGTCTCTTCAGGCACCAAGGCCTCCTGGATGGGGGAAGAAGGGGAATTCAGAAGACACTCTCTTCTCAACTGACTCCAACTCAGGACTTTCCTACTCCTAGCCCTTGCTAATCTTGGGTTCTCCTGCACAACCTTAGGGTCCATATACTGCTGGAACTTTGTCCAGGGCTCTCTCTCAGTGAGACGAGCCCCAAGACTCACATGTCTGAGCTGGATCCTCTGACTATTGGACTGTGCCCATCAATGGGAGGAAAGGAAACAGGTTGGTACTTTCTCTGGTTTTGGGCCCTTTGCTTATACCACTTACAAATGGGTCAGCTTAATCCTAACATTTTGGCTTGTTGCTTTAACTGGCTACACTGAAACCTTAGTTCTTTCTTCCAGATCAGCTGAGCCTCTGACCAGTATGATTTAATAAGAAATGTGGTATCCAAAACAAAGTGGCTTTTTTCCTCCTACTCAAGTCAAAAAGAAGTACTGTGTTCCACACCGATTTGCCATGAGTAAATCTGACCAATTTGACTTACGCTGACATTTCCCTCCGTTGGTGGGATCACCGTAGAAGCCAGATATGTGTCTCGCGAAAGTGGCTTAAGCCTGTGGTCAGGTTCACATTTCTCACAGATGCTCTGATTGATGCATTTACTGTATACTGCATTGGCAAGCTGGAAGTGAAAAGAGTTTCAAGGGTCTAAAATTTCATGGAAGAACTGTATGGAGTAAGTTCAACAAGATTTTATCTGCAACTATCTCTGTTAATTTATCTTGATAAATCACTCAAACTGGCCCATTAAAAACTAATTTGAGAAATAAGATAAAAAATATCAAAGAAGAGCTAGTCCAGGAAAACTGAAAATGTATCACAGCAAGGTGAAAGCCCATAGTGACAC